CAGGTCCCCCCTCAGCCTTCTCTTGTGAAGGCTGAACAGGTTCAGGTCCCACAGTCTCTCACTGTAGGGTCTGCCCTGTTGTCCCTGGCAAGATTCATCTGAATCAGGCAGGAAATGTCAAAGTTTTAGGCATTTCCATGTTTCCCCATTATAACCTATGGGTGAAACATCAAAACAGTCTCAAAACAGTGAAACAGTTTTGAGTAAATGAAACGGAACAGTGCTTTTGAAATGAAACAGAACTCAAAATGAAACACTGTCCCGTCGAAATGAAACTCGAAATGAAACAGTGCTGTTTCGCACAGCCCTAGTGCCCGTACACATGTGGGAATGGTGCTCCAATGTGCTGTAATTACAACACATTGGAGCAGACTCAATTAACTGAGTCTGCTGGAGCGTACTAATTAGCATGCTCCAGCAGTCTCCTCTTCCTGTGTATCAGTATGCCTGCACTTCAAAATGGTGGCAGGGGCGCTTGAATTAAAGCTTGTAGAATGAGCTTTAGTTAAAGCGCTCTCAGTGCCACTTTGAAGTGTGGGGACGCTGATACACAAGACACTGTGGGTGCTTTAATTAGAGCAGCTCTTGGAGCGGCTCTAAATAAAGCATGCCCACTCCACCAGCCCATGCAGCACATGTGAAGATGCCTAATGCCTGCCTATATACGTGCTCAGGGACAAAAGCGGGGGAGGGGCTGTTTTAATTAGAGTGGTGCCTGGACAGCTGCTCTAATTAAAATAGTTCCCTATCACGTTAATAAACTATCCCATTTATTAAGCCCTTGCACATTTCAAAATGGCTGCAAGATACTTTATTTAAAGCTCATTTGACAAGGTTTAGATAAAGCACCCCTGCAGCCATTTTGAAACACATGGAGACTTAATACATGTGACAGTGAGGCAATGCTGGAGCATTTGAATTAGAATGTGGAGTGTGTAGGGTGCACATCTATAGGCACCCTACACACCGTATGCTACTTCTGAGCTATGAACAAGCTGTAAAATTTCTGTTTAAATGAATCACTGGCCAGATAAGTCCTGGTTGTAACACCCCACCCCCAACAGTGCAAACCGCTGCAGCTGGTTTTAAAACAATTTTTGAAATGTATGTGTTTAAAGCTTCATTGTTTGGTGAATATACAGATGTCACTAAACTCTACTCTTTTTTGTACTCATATAACACAATAACCATTCTATTTAGAGTGAAAGTAACCTAGATATGGAGCCGACTTCTTATCTAGTAATGGAAAAATCAATGAATAGGTTACAAAAGTGACTAAGGACATGGACTCATACCTTGCTTATAAACTACATTGCATAGGGATGCCTCTAAAGACCAGAATAAATATATATATCAAGGTGTAATCTGTTGCTTAACTATAGTAATCACTGAGGACTGGATTGTTATCAGACAGTCCCCTAGTCATCTTTGGAGGCTGTGCCATTTAAAGCAAAAGCCTAAATTCTGTCAAATTCTGGGGCCCTTGAGAAGCAGCCGTATGACTGCTACCACTGGGTCCTGGCTCCATACAAATGTTTCAGCAGTATTTGATCTATTGGTGTATGTATTTTTCTAGTAAGCCAGCCATGTGAAATCTAGCAGGTAAATTAAATGATAAATTTCAGTGTTGTCCTGGAAGGATCTGTACTCTTGTTCTCAGTGGATTGCCTACATAGGTGGACTTTGTGGAGAGATGTGTTGAAGAGGAAGAAGCCCTCTTTTATTCAGTTGTCCACTTATAGATGGAAAGCATTTTTAATAAACACCTTCCAACATTGCAAGTGCAATTTTGAAACCACAAGAAATGGAGGCCGACCAAGAGAGCAGTTAAATCTGGCCCATGGGCCATATATTTGATACCCCTGAAATAGGGTAAAATGGAAAGGGACAGGAAGTGAAACCTACATACCTTAAGTTTTATTTGGTCCTCTGTTACCAACTGGTAAAAAGATTTGTACAGATGCATGCAGAGGTAAGAAATATGAATTGTTCTTCTGCTCGCAGCACTTTGCAGTGAGAAATCCTCTGATATGAGCTCTACATACCTCAAATCTCGATGGCGCTGACGCATTGACTCCAGGTGTGCCTGGATTTTTTCTTTTTTCCTCTCAGAAATGATATCAGCAATGACAGATATGGCAAGAGAAATCTCATCAGAATCGGAGCCCTAGGAATAAGAGACTAGATGATGATGACTGCCTACACACTGCATTTTAATAAGAAGCAGCAACACCTAGAAAGTACATTTTCATCAACATCCGTTTAACACAGTAAAACACACGTCATTTCTGTATGCTGAGTATCAAGTACTTAGCAAAAGGTTTGCCTTATCATTCTTATTTTATAAAAACTCCTGGAAGACCATTTTAGGCTGGACATAAGGAAAAACTTCTTTACTGTCCTAGTCCACAGGGCTTGGAATAGACTCCCCCTGGAGGTGGTGCAAGCACCTACTCTGGATACTTTCAAAAAACATTTGGATGCTTATCTTGCTGGGATCATTTGACCCCTGCTGACTTCCTGCCCCTTGGGCAGGAGGTTGGACCTGATGATCTTGTGAGGTCCCTTTCAGCCCTAATGTCTATGAAATAATAAGGAAAGGCAGTCATAGCTTGCTCCAGGCCCTGGAATGAATCCATGGCCAACAGGAGACACTGACTTGAGCCTCCTTTTCTAGCCATTAGGCTGGGCACCCTCCTCACATATGCAGAAATACCTGGCAAGGGATGGGGTACGTTGGAGTAATAGCACATCTCCACTTTATGGCATCACCATGGGGAAAGGGTCAGCAGCGAATCAGGGAAATGAAAGATGAGTTAGCCTTAACATTTTAATTTTTCAATGGCACGCTGGTGGGTTTCGCTGGCTTGTGAAGTGACTAGTTTGCCCAGTGAGCATCTGCCTGCAGGAGTCTTGTGCAGAATGGCAAAGAATGTAGGAGGCACTAGGGTAGAAAGGAAAGCCATTCACGTGCTGCTGAGACCTCCCTTGTGTAACTAAGTAGGGGCCTGGCTCTGCAATCCTCTAATTGTATGAGTGGCACAACTTCAATGGCACTGGTGGCACAACTTTAATATAACAAAAACCATATTTCTCATATATAACCTGCACCTTTTTCACCTAAACCATCTGGTTAAAATTGGAGTGTACATTATATACAACCCCCCCCCCCCCCCCCCCCCTTGGG